GAGTGCGGTGGGAATCGAGCCTGCGACCTTTGGTTTGCTAGTCTAATGCTCTACAAACTGAGCTACGAGGTCAAGTTGGTTTGAGTAGGTGATATTTCGGAACTCAATTTAGTTAATTTGAAATCATGCAGTATACAGGTTTACCAACGAATAGAAGCCGGCGAATTTCGCCGCCTATAACATATAGACAGTCGCTGGTTTTTCTCGAAATTATTTCCTTCTTACCACAGAAATGTTAAGGAGAAGGTTTCATGCTTTTAAAACATAAATTTTGCAAAATTTTCCTCGTTAAATGCTTTGAATAATATGTCGAAATCTAAAAAAAAAAACCCTCTCTAAAGTGGCTGGAAATGGCATCTCAAGGCCAAGGGGTCTAAATTTCAAAATCTTCACCGAAAGCCGCTCTTGGAGTAAAGTTGGGCGGTATTGAAATTTCAATACCGGTTACGTTATTTAAAAAAATACCGCGGTGTGCCGGTATGCATGTACGTAAATTTGTAATAAATGCCGAACCTTTATTCGCGACATGAAAATAAACGAAGCTTCGATTAACTATATGCTATTTTGCGAGACAAACAATGTGTTTGCTTCTCGTTTGTGAACTTTTCTTCATTTCAAATAAAAAGATAAACTACTGATAGCCACTGATGCCGGTATATTTTATGGTATATCGTATAACAACGGTATATCGATATAGCGTCAAAACCAATAACGCCATACGGCACAGGGTGCGATAATTCAATATTTTTAGTCGTACTGTGAGAGTTGGGCTACTGTGCTTGCGTGCGCGGTGGTCAACTGCGCACCTCGTGTGTAAAAAGGTTGTTGTGTTATTGAGTTTGTAAAAGAAAAGAAAGAGATTTATATATAAAACTTGAAAACGAATTGACGCCTCCTGTTCTATCACAGTACCTGACTGGTACGCCAATGGTTGTTGCCGCGTACTTGCACAAACTCAATACTCAATGTGTACTTAGTCATTAAAATAAGGTTCATAAAGTACAGGTTTCTGAAAAGTACGTTCAGACTACGAGGTAGAAAAAGAAGCACAATTGCATATACAAACAATCGACTCCAACGTTTCTTAGTGCCATCATTCAAATCATGTTTCATGCTAAGACATGTCAGACACATGATAAACCAACTAAATTACGGTATTGAATACCTTGGGCTTGGAAAGGTCATGTGGTACTAACAAAAAGTAAGTATGCAGATAGCAAGAGTTTCGCGTACCTACGTGGTACGTCGCTGAAAACAAATAAGTACCAGACCGTAATATTGGCGTACCTCCGGTACGTAAGTACGCGAATAAATTATCGCACCCTGCCGGCCTGCGGTATCGTACGTGAAGAACTAAATATACCGGTGTACCGCCCAATTTTATCTTGTACCCCCTAGGTGTGCGGTACTTTGGGTACCAAAGAGCCGCCTACTTCTTCCAGAAAGCCTCCTACTCCAAATGATATTGGCAACTGTGAAGTATATATGAACATGAATTTAATGATCACACTCAAGAGTAATATAATTTCACATAATTTCACCTACATTCGTGATTATAAAACATATACTAAAATCACTTTCAAAAGTTGTTGGGTCACATGCAGTTTAGACCGAAAGTCGATCTGTACCGTTCGTTACATACAATACCCCACCTCTCTCCAATCAATGTTTTCGCAATTCAAATACGAAAACGCATCAAATCTGACGATAAATGGCACACTACATTGGATTGGGGAGGGGGATTCGATGTTTGTTCGAATTAAGGTTTTTGTGGATCTGTCCCAAGACATTAGAAATTGATCGTACCGTCCAAGAAACTACGTACTATATATAGGTTCAATTCCGAAATATCAACTCCTCAAACCGACTTCACCTCGCAGCTCAGTTGGTCTAGTGGGAAGCACACCAAAACTGTACAAATATTTTAAAATACAAAATTGTTTTGTACAATACATATATAAATTTCTGATAGTTGTAATATAATTGCAAGCAATTTGTCATTGTTATAAATCCATTGTATTTTTAAACTAAAGATGGATCATTAAATCATTATTATCTCAAATGAGAAAAAAAATGCTTATCCCAGTCGATTCTGTCCCTTCTTGTATAGATCAATAAATATGCATTTTCTGGTGGGAAAGATAGTGTTGAGGAACATCGCACACTTGGTGGAGATACTGAAGTCGATATCGCTTATCAATATTTAACATTCTTCTTGGAAGATGAGGAGAAGTTAAAGCAAATAAAAGAGGTAGATTCATATGGATTATTCATATGGGGAAAGTGTCGAATTTTTGAGACAACCCTTAAGCCCTGGGCAAACTAGGAAACATTGTTGCGAAAACATTTGTGATTCTCGATGTTTCCTCAAATGTTTCCATGTTTGCCCACCCGTGGAAACATTGTTGCGGAAACAAAATTTGCTTCCCGGGAAGCAAAAATGTTTCCTAGCAAATTCAGAAACATTTGATGTTTCCCTATGTTTCTCACTAATGTTTCGTAGTGTTTGCCCACTCTGGGAAACATGGCGAAACATTGGTAGGAAACAATGTTTCCGCAACAATGTTTCCTAGTTTGCCCAGGGCTTTAGGCCTGTTAAAATGTTGTGAATTAGCCTTTCTCATGCCGCCATTTTCTGGGAACGAGGTTGGTACTGCCTTTTCCAAATCTGAGATTACACGCAGTGAGTAAGGGATTTGTATAACCATAATTGTGAGTTATAAGTTAATTTACAGTAAAATATTTGAAAAAAATGTTTTCACATCGCTTAGACTTTTCATGTCGTTTTCACAAAAAAAGTACCCACAAAATGGCGAATTTGGCCTTCGTGAGAAATGCTAATTGGATTGCAACGTTAAATAAGCGACAGCTTTGTGAGTTAAATTAAGCTACTGTACAATGCGCCCTACTCTATATATTTGTCTAACGTCAGACGATTTTACTCGTCAAGGGGAGATCGAGTCTTGCGCTTATATATACAGTAGGTTAGTCTATCTTTGTATGGTACGTAGTGGCCGGTAGAATTGCAGTCTCAAATGGTCGGTGCAAGGGTAGATAGGTTCAAATTTGACTTCCACTACCGCTACCATTATTGGACTATTAACCAATCAGATGCCTTTGATATATCCGATTAACCAATCAGGGCCCGATTGTTCAAAAGGCGGTTAGCTTAACCCTCGGTTAACGTGAAATTGAAAGCATACCTCCCATCAGCTTGGTTAGAAACTTGGAAATATTTTCTCAGAAATCTTGTCTGGATCATCAGAAGTTTAATTTTCTAAAGTTTTGAAATAAACAGACGTACTTGTATATACTGTATATACCAAAGCAATGGATTAAATTTAACTACTACGCCCTGATTTAACCCACGCTAATCGGCTAGCGCTAATCGTGCTGTGAACAACAGGCCCCAGATGCAAACCAAGGCCGGATTTTCGTGGAAATGGTGAGGGAGTTGGAAGAAAATTTAGGGGAGGTGCAGCGGTCTAGCCAGTGGCGTAACTACTATGGGCTCGGACCGGGCGAACCCGGGGGCTCCCAACCCCAATGGGTCAAATGGGGGCCCCCAGGCTCAGGCTGTAGAGCAAAAACATTGGCCAGGGAGGCCTCTGATATGTCACAATGTCGTTTTCTGACCATCAGAATTCTGTAAAATCTCTCCCCAAAGTCCGGGAAATGGCATTTCAGAGAGTCTAGATTCAAAAATTTTCCGGGTGAGCATGCCCTGCACCCCTATAGAAAACTCGTGCATATACGGCTCTCAACTCGTGCCACATCTACCAGGGGGGCCTTCGAAAATTTTGAACCGGTGTCGAGCGAAATTCCTGACCTCTGCGAAATAGCTGACCAAGCGTGACTGGTCAGAAATTTCGCGCGTGCAGGCGCGAAATACATGACGCTTGCTAAATTCTAATTCGGGGGGCCCCTGATATAACGTTACGCCACTGGGTCTAGCTCGCGACACCCATGGAAAGTTAAGGCTTAGTCAATGGGCCAAAGTCAACGACGTGACGTATGCGTGTAGTATACATGTGTTTCAGTGTATTAATGAATCATGACGTCACAACTCATCCAATTTTGCAATTGCCCTTCCGATTAACAATTACCACAAAGTCTATTTCGAAACATTGCATTAAAAGGGTACTTGACACAGAGATGATTGGCTATCACTGTCTCAATTTTACAGAAAAATTTTCTTACGAAGTGTAGACCCTAAGCAACCAAGAAATGTCAAATTTTCACTCTGCTCTATCATTGAAACTTTCCCCAAGAGGAGGTGTACCGGTGCATGACTTTTCAGGGGAGGTGCAAAAATTATCAGGGGAGGTGCAAAATGATCTCAGGGGAGGTGCACACCTCCAGTGGTGCCTAAATTACTTTGAATTTGTACTCGAGTAAAAGTAGAAGTAATTGTCAATAAAACGACTTGATGAAGAGTAAAAAGTACTGGAGGCAAATCGTACTTAAGTGAAAAGTACAAAGTATCCTTAAAAAATACTTGAAGTACAAAGTAAAAGTACTATTGTCTGTAGCGAGTAGGGGGGGGGGGGGGGGGGGGGGGGGGGGGGGGGGGGAGAGACTTCTCCATTGATGGATTGAGACAAAAAATACAAAACAGCACACGCATTATAAATATGCAATATTTCACGGCATGGTCTACTTTCCAGACCCCGTTGAAGATATAAGAAATCCATTAAATAAATAATACTTATACTGTAAGTAAAACACAAACGAGAGATCCCAGACGCATGTAGAGGTTCTATTACCTATTGAGAC